GCTGGAACTGGAGTTAATAATCGATCACACCTATGTGATGAGGCCTCCATGAAAATCTCAAAGTACAGGTTTCAGACAGCTTCTGGCTTGGTGAACACACCTACGTGCTCGGAGGGTGGCCCACCCCGACTCCACAGGGGCAAAAGGCCCTGTGCTCTGGACCCTCCCAGACCTCACCCTGTGTGTCTCTTCATCTGACACTCATTTGTACCCTTTAATATCCTTTGTGATAAACTTGTGATCTAGCAGTAAACTATAGTCTTGAGTTCTGTGAGCTGCTCTAGAAAATTAAAGGATGGGTTGGTGGGAACCTCTGATTAACAGCCAGAAGTACAAGTGACAACCTGGACTTTTGACTGGCATCTGAAGTGGGGGACGGGGGCAGTCCTGTGGAACTGAGCCCTTATCCTGTGGGGTCTGATGCAGCTCCAGGCAGACAGTGTCAGAAGGGAAATGAATTGTGGAACATCCAACTGATGTCACAGAATTACCTAAAGTGTGGGAAACCTACACACCTGGTGTCAGAAGTGTTGTGAGTGTGGCGGTAGTGTGAGGGTAAAGGAAAACAGTGAGTTCTCCCTAGATACCCCTCCTTCTCAGCAAGGACAACCTGCTCACTGGGACTGCCAACTGCAGCCGTTGCCTCTCTGCTGACCCTGCTGAGGACTGCCCTCTCACCCCTGGTTTCCGAGGGTGCCCTCCTGGCCGGCCTCACCCTGGCTGACAGTCTTTGTTCTACCATGGCTGGATCTTGTCTTTCCTGATCTGGCCTTCCATCTAATCTCCACGCTAAGGCAGAAAGTCAGTGATAATAGATGGGTATGAGGTTTCTTGCTGGAGTGATGGAAATATTTTCAAGTTCCTTGTGGTTGCAAACTCTGCAAATATAGTAAAAATCATTGAGCAGTACACTTAAAACACAAACAAACCAGTAAGTCAGATCATCCCTCCTCTGCTTAACACCCTCCAAAACGGTCCCCCAGGATCTGACCTCCTGTCCCCCTCCCACCTTGCCCACACTGTTCCATCCTTTATGTTGGCCTCCTTTACGTTTCTTAAGCAAGTTTTCCTATTCCAGGGCCTCTGAACCTGCTACTCCCTCGCCCAGAACACTCTTCTCCCAACAGCTGTGGGACTCACTCCTCGCTTCCTTCAGACTTCAGTCCACCAGCATCCTCATAGAGGGCTCCCTACCTTCCGTAAAATGACATTCCACTTGGACACACAAGACCCACCACCTACTGCCCCCTACCCCGCTTCACATTCACCACAGCTGCTCCTTTCCACACTTTCCATTTTGTTTGTTTGTTTATTTCCTCTCTCTCCCCATTAGAATGAAAACTCCTTTGTTCCCTACCACATCTTTACTTGGTGCCAAGAAAACAACAGGCACTCAACAGACCCTGAGTAAATACTGGCTGAGTGAACGAGTAAATAACTGGTCCTAGCGTGACCCATTCTTGATTTCAGCAACGGCACAACCAAACATTAGTGGGTTTTAGTTCAACTATCACAAGATACACTTTGGCATTGACTGAATGAAGTTCATACCTTCAGAAAGTTACTGTCATTCCTGATATAAAGAAAAGATCTGTCTTCCTGAGCATTTCAGTTTGTTAAAAATGACAACAACAAAATAAATCTGAACAACTTGGAATAAGGAAGATTAGTCAGAAATCTAAATGGCTAAACTGCAAATGGAGATTTTAAAAAAATCAATTCAAAGCTTCCTGATAGTGATAAACCACAGAATATTTCAGAGCAACGACTTTGCCATATTGAGTTAGCATAATATACAAATAACCTTTTCAGTCGGGTCAAAATAAAAACTATTCCAGATCCAGGTCAATGAATGAAATTCACTGTCCGCAGGATCCAACTTCATGCACCTACTGTATCCATCATTCCAGCAAAAGGTGGGACAGGGAGGTCAAGTGTCTACTCATCACCTTCTGGTCAACTTGAGGTCCAGCGCTATACCTCACAAATGTTTAACCCCCAGTTCAGAGCCTGCACTTTGCCAAATGCCTTCAGGTACCCCCTGCTTTTCAAAAGTTCACTTTCTGCCACTTTGTTTTTACAAAAGGCCTACATTAGTACTGTTTTGCTAACCAAAAAAATGCAAAGAGGATTTTCACTTTTACAAAAAAGGGTGAAAAGTAAAAATAGCATCCAGCGCTTGTCATGCAGCGAGCTGTTATTATAGGCCGTGTGCGCCAGAACAGCAAGGGGCACCACCAAGCTTCTTCCCCAGAACTACACTCTGCATCAAGCCCTAATAGCTCTGAATGGTCTGTGAACATCTGTGCTTTAATCTGGACTCACTTTGTGCATCTGTTAGCAAGGCCTGTCCTAAGTTGCTTATTTCTTCACTTTGTACCATTTCAGCTTAGGAAAGGGTTCACTGGAACTCTCATTCAGATAGCAGGGAAACCTGTATTGCTGAATGAATGAGCGCTGGTGACCAACACCTCCAACTATACCTCCACAGAAGTACTGATGAACTCAAGTATATACTACAGTTTAGTATCTTCAGAACAATTTCTGAAAACGAAACAATCCCCATAGCTACAGATTCTCCACTATGAGGTAATGTTAAAAGTATTATCCCAAATCTACGTATCTCAATTTTTTTCTTAAAGAAAGAAGAGGCAAGCCCTGGCTGGTGTGGCTCAGTTGGTTGAGGCATCATCCTGTAAACTGAAAAAGGTCTCAGATTCGATTCCCAGTCAGGGCACATGGCTGGACTGCGGGTTTGGCATCCAGTTGGAGCTTGTAGGAGAAGCAACCAACCCATGCTGCGCTCTCACACAGATGTTTCTCTTTTGCCCTCCCTTTCTCCCTTCCCCTCTCTCTCAAAGCAATGAACAAAATGTTCTCAGATGAGGGAAAAGAGAGAAAGAAACTAAAAGCCAGACAGACTGAACAGCATATTCACAGTTTCAAAGTATCACCTCACCTGACTTATTAATCAAAAAAGAATGAAGGTGCTCTCACAGTGCAGGGATCTGATAAACACCACCTTCACCAGACGTTGAATGCTTCCCCACATGATGTACTGAGAAGTAGATACCATCATCCGTGTGGGTCTGACCAAAAATATTTAATTTGAATGTAACCAGGAAGAAACAATCAGATAAATTTAGATCCAGGGACAAACTGAAAAACAATTAGCCTGGAGACTCTTCAACAATGTCAATCTCAAGAAACTGAAACAAAGATGGAGAAACTGTTGTACATTCAACCAGACTAAAGAGACATGACAGCTAAGTGCAATGGGTGATCCTTGATTAAATCCTAAAATTAAAAAGGAAACAAGGCTACAAATGATATTCTTCAGACAATCTGGAAAATTTAAATAAGGCCCATATATTAGATAATATTCTATGGATGTTAAATTTCTTGGGAGTGATAAGTTTTCTTACTACAACAGAAAATGTCCTTGTTTGAAAAGATCAACGCTACTTCTGTAAATTCCTTTCAAATGACTCTGCAGAAAGTAAAAATGTTATGGTTACAAATATATATATACATATATGTATACACAAGGAAAGGAACCCAAACATGAATTACGAATCTAGGTAAAGGGTAGGTGGGTATTTGTTATACTATCATTTCAATTTTTCAATAGGTTTGAACATTCTCAAAACAAAGAATTGGAGAAAGAATAAGGAAAGGAACAAAAACAAACTAATCTGGTTCGGGGGTGCCCACAGACTGTGCAGGCATTTCATTTTTTGGACAGTGTCTCCGGAATGCTATGTTATCACTGTCCGTGTGAACTTCAGACCTTTAGAAACACGGTGAACTGCCAGATTATCATTTTGGGCATGATTTCAAGCTAACACCTGCATCTGCCCCATTATCAGCTATTTCACAAACCTGACTGGGGCAAAAACAAACAAACAAACAAACAAACAAACAAACAAACCAAAAAGAAAAACACCAGGCAGGCGATACAGAGCAAGTCTCTGGTGTCTACTGAATGGCGCCTGACAGTCGCTGACCAGTGGAAGAAAAAAAATCACAGATGCCTCGTTTATGACTGCAGTCCGTAATCCAATCCTTTTTTCTTTGCAGGTTTCAGGCCCCATTCTCGCTTTGTTTACTAAATCAAGGTATCAGCTTAGCTGGAGAGCCCAACCTTAGCCTTCAACTGCCACTGTTCTCCATCTAAGTCTTGCATTTAAAGGTCCAACACACCTTAAAACTGTGTGCCATCCCCCCAGAGCCTTTCATTAGCCTTCCCAAGAAACTGCTCCTCTAGGCTTAAGGAGCACAAAGAGTTTTCTACCTTGTATTATAAATTTGAAAAACCCTTCTATCAGTCCCAGCAGACGCTCCAGTGGGGAGTAAGATGCGTTAAAAAGAAGCTGTGCCAAAGATCTTAAACGCGTGAGTGAAAGACTCGGCAACGTCTCCGAAAGTGTTTCCTAGAAAGAGAAGCTGGTGGACTGGGTGGATCTGGACGGGGGTGCAAGCAATCAGCAAGCAACCTCCTGGCAAAGAGGGGACCAGACTATAAACAAAGGGCGCGTGAGTTCTGACTGCCCCTCAGCCTGGCCGGGACCATTCGGCGTCGAGCTGCTAAGGCCGAGAAACCGGCGCGGACGGAAGGGGCCAGGCGCACCCTGCGCCCTAAACAAGGCGAGAACGATCGCCTCCAGGGCTCTTTAGAGATCAAGTCTGAACCTAGGTCGTTTGAAACCCGAAAAACCAAGACCAGTTGGGTGCTGGCCGAGCTCCCTTCACCGACGGGTACACCCGCGGCCGCTCCCTCTGACCTCGCTCCCAACGCGGGTTTCGGGTGGCCGGATCTAAGGGGCCGGCGAGGAAAGGACAGGAAAGGCCGGTAGAGCTCCCAGCTCTTGGCCCAGGGAGCGGGACCCTTCAAGGAAAACAGTCCCAAGATTGCTAGGCGGAGGGACTCTGGAGAAAAGGCACGCCCCACCGTCGGGCGGCCGCCGCAGAAAGCGCAGACCGAGGCGCGGGGTCGGTACCTGGGAAGGAGCAGAGAGAAGTGGAGTTGGGGCACAGGGTCCCGTTGCCCACTCGCGGGACAAGCTTCAGGCTAAGGATCTGCTGCAGGAGCCCGGTCGACCCCCCACTGCCGCCGCTCCCCTCGTGCTCCATTCTGCCGCCATTCACCGCAGAGAGATGGGGGAGAGCGCCCGTAGTGTTGCCGTATTGTATCTCCCTCACACTTACAGCCCACCCTGCTCTCTGTATCTGTGTCGCTTTAGCGTCACCTTCGGCCCGGGCCCTCTTCCTGCTACCTAACCGGGGCTGTTAAGTGACGGTCCCTTTCTCCAATCAGCGCGCCCCAAATGGTGGGGCGGGGCGAGAGTTGATCACGCCCCCCACGTTGCGTAGATGCCTCACGGAATACTCCCCCTACCCGGAAAGTCTCTCCTGCTCCAGTAGGGCGCGCTCTACTCTACCTTTCTCGGCAGCGCCACCCATAATAAAGTTAAGGAATTGCATACACCCCACCTGATCGAGATGTAGGTTTAAAACATTTGTATCTAGAAATGAAAATAAGATGGTTCAACAGACAAGTGAAGGAAGCTGAGAGACAATGCACAATAACTTAAACATTTGGAGGGGAAATGAGTTTTTGAAAACTTAATTTACTTTAAATTTAAAAGCACTGTGTAGAAAATACATAATATTTTCCTTGTAATTCAAGATCATTAGCAAGAGTGTTTATTAAACTTCCCTCTTAAAGTCTTTGTTTTGGAAGCTTTTTAAATACCACTTTCCTAGTACTAAAACTGAGATTTAGCATCAAATCAAGAATATTTTCTAAAACAAGAATAGTATTTAAAAAGTCATGAAATATTTAACAGTGCTGCCTTTTGGTACATGTCCCAGACTAGCAGAATGTACAAGAAGTGCAGGAACCAGTTATTTTAAGGTAATATAACAATCAATCTTGTATCACATTAGGAAACATTATCTTGAATTTAGAATTCTATCCGTAGTCAAATTGTGAAATGAGAAATTAAAAAAAAAAAGACATTTAGACTTTCAGGACTCAGAAAATGTATGTTTTTCAAAAAACAAAACAAAAATACCCTGGCTGGTGTGGCTCAGTGAATTGACCACCTGCCGGTGAACCAAAAAGTCATTGGTTTGACTACCCGGAAGGGGGTTGCAGGCCAGTTCCCCCAACATTGGTGTTTCTCTCCCTCTTTTTCTCCCTCCCTTCCCCTCTCTTTCTCTCTCCCTTCCCTTCTCTCTAAAAGCAAATAAGTAAAATCTTTTTAAAAAACTTCTAAAAAAAAAGAGAAAATGTGTTTCATGTGCCCTTTCTAAGGGAGCTGAGTATATATTCCGGTGAAGTTAAAGAGTGACAACCAAGAAAGAAAAAGATGTGCAATATAAGAATTAGCAGATTTAACCTGGAGGTTTAGAGTGTCTTCTGCGCAGTAGTCCTAGTGAACACCTCACCAGATTAGAACAGAAAGAACAGTGTCCTCAGAAATAATAATGGAATTGATTTTAAACTATAGACAAAGTGGTTAAGAAGCTCAGCTTTTTAATGGCGGGGTGAAGAAAGTAATGTTTCTTCTCTCAGTGCATTAAAAATTACAACTCATACCCCTACACATATACATCCCTAATCTCCATGATCCTTCCTTACTTCTGCTCTTAGCACTTGTTGGTGCTTAACCCACACTGTGTCCTGAATGAATGAATGAATGGGTGTGGAGGACTTGAAGCCTGAGATCACAATAGTGCCATATTTGCAGGGGCAACCAAGATCTCCAATCTTATCAAGGGCGAAAAACTCGGTCAGCTGAAGGACTTGCCACCCTGGGAAATTTCAAAGTCTGGTCTGTGGTAGTTGCTTCAGTCTCTGTGTAGTTGACCATCCCTCCCGTTTTAGCAGCACTCCTACACCCCCCCTGAGGGTACCAAAGCTTTTTTGCTCCTGACCAGTGGAAGAAATAAGTCTTTTTTTTAGACTTATTTTTTAAGACAGTTTTAGGTTTACAACAAAATTGAAAGGGAGGCGCAGGGATTTCCCATACACCTCCTTCCCTCACACATTCACAGGCTTCCTCATTATCGACATCACTCACTGGAGCAGTACATCTGTTACCAAGGATGGTCCTGCACCGACGCATCACAACCACCCGAAGTCTGTAGTTTACCTTAGAGTTCACTTTTGGTGCTGCATGTTCTATGGGTTTGGACAAATGTACAATGACATATATCCATTATTATTATAATTGAGTATTTTCACTGCCCAAAGTTCCTCTCTGCTCCATCTATTCACCCCTTCCAGCTCCCAGCAACCACTAATCTTTTTAGTGGTCTCTATAGTTTTGCCTTCTCTAGAATGTCATATAGTTAGAATCCTCCAGATTGGCTTCTTCCACTTAGAGATAAGCATTTCAGTTTTCTCCATTTCTTTTTATGTCTTGCTAGCTCATTTTTAAAGCACTGAGTAATATTCCATCAGATAGGTGAGAATGAAAACGATTGATTTAACCCTGCATAGGTAAGGGTGGGAGTTGTCAGTAGGAGAGGATGACAAAGGCATTCTTGACCATGTTCCAGGGAGGAATTGGTACTCCATTTCTACAGTAATTGGACAGTTTCACATTTCAAACATAAACTCTCTTTGATCCAGCAGTCCTTTTAAGAACTGCCTGTAGACAGGCATCTCCTGGGGGCTACTCCCATCCCGGAGCCTGGATTCTCAGGAGTATGTCTTTTGTTTTGTCAAGGAAACTTGATTCCAAGGGGGACAACAGGAAGTCGAGGTTCCTTGAGCCACGACCCAATCCCTTTCTGTTTCTGTTCCTTCACCCTGTACTCGATGAACTCCTATTCCTCCTTCATCTATTTAAACCAAATGTTTCAAAGGTCTTTCCGACTCCCCGTGCTAAAGTACAATAGGTCTACCCATTGTTATTGTTTCTTCTTGGGACACAATCAACATTTAAGTTGCATGTTTACCTGTGGGGATATTTATACAGGGTCTGCACTCCCCAAAGAGTAAGGGCTGTGACTGCTCTGTCCCTCACTATGTCCCCGGAGCCTGGTACTGGGCCTGACTCATTGGAGCACTCAACTGGTTACTGCTTGTCTGTCTGTCCTGAAGCTGCTCTGGTTTCATGCCAGGGCCAGGGAACTCACCCAGAGTCTTGCCCGAAGTGTCCAATATGCACGGAGCAAAGTCTGGGAGCCAGTCATCCTCATCCTGGGACCTCAGAAGTCAGGTGAGAATGGGTGAATTTTACGGTAAAGGCCAATAATTATAGCCATCGATACAATTTGTGAGCCAGCAGAGGCAAATGCAACTTGCGAGAAGCCACATTCAGGCTGTGTCTAAGCCTGATCCTAAAGCCTTCCTTCTGGACCTCACTAGGGATCATGTCTCCCCGGTCTTAGCTTCTGGCACCATGAACATCCTGCTCACCCTCCTTTGCCTAAACATACCACGTTGCCTGGGAATGTGCCTAGGCTGGGTCCTCCACTCCACAGTGTGCTCTGTACAGGCAGGGCCAGCGAAGGGTGGAGGACAGCTTTATCCCCAGGGGCAGAGTAGAGGGCGGAGGACAGAGGAATGCAGGAAGGAAAGGAGCTAGTGGCACACCCCTCAACATTCTGGTCCTTGAGATATTTGCAGCCAAATGCCAGGACCGCTCCCCAGTACCCAGTGATCTGTCATTGCCAGGGAGAAATGATCTGGCCTTCCAAGCCTGTGGCGGGGTCCTTTGCTGCATGCCCAGTTTGATTTACTGTTAGAAGTATTGAAGTCAAAGATGTGTTTGAATCCTACCCCCAAAATTAAGCTATGTGACCCTAGCCTTTCTATGTCACAGAGATCCTTTTAATAAATCTGGGGTTTTTAAATACCTTCTTTGTGATATTGTAAGCAGGGGCAGAGCCAGGGTTAATGGAGCCTGAAGCCCCTACAATTTGATGGATCCTCCAATGAGGAGTCCTGAACTTCAGCTTCAAGGTCAATATATTACCGCTCCGTGCAAGAAAATAAGCAGAAAATGCCATGCCCTCCTTGCCCTGCCTGCTTTGCAGTGAAGATGTGGGTCCACAGTCCAGGTCCCACCAACCTAAGGCCACATCTGAGAATCAGAAGCTAGCACCCTCCAGAACCCCTTCTGGTGGCTGATGGCAACAGTAAGGATGGCTCCCTCATTTCTGGAGGTGATTGGCACCGTAGTTCTGGTGGCAACTTTTCAGTCCCCAGACCAACTCTCTGGCCCAGTTGAATTTGGTGTATTCCATTTGTGTGGTCTCAAATCTGCTGCCTAGAGGTTTTGTGAGCTTTTTTTTTTTTCCTTTTTGTCATTTTTTTAAGCTCAGTACTAAGCCCTCTACACAGCCAGCATCCCTTTAATAGATTTTGCTTCCAGAGCTAGCTGTTGTGGTTTGCAGTTAGGAATCTTACTCTGTTCTCCTCTGGGGCTTTGGCCTGGAATGACCAGAGGAAGACAGAGCCTCCCCCCCGCCCGGCCCCCCTGCGCTTATAGCAAACCTGATCTAGTTACACTCACCCTGTGACCTGCCCTGCAAGCACTGATCCTGCTGCCAGCCTCTTGTTCCACCACACGCTCTGCCTGGCTTGCTGCCCGGACCTTCCCAGCCTTTCTCCCTCCACCTTTGCTCCTCACCGCACCCCTCCAGACTTAGCCAGGCGGCTCTAGATTCCTCACCTGAGGCCCAGAGCTCACCACTTTCTGTATTGCACACCTGTGGCTCCAACCATGGCTGACTGCTCTTCACTAGGACAAATAAGATGGGAAAACCTGACCCATCTTCATCCAGGAGACAGGTCTCTGCAAGCCTAATTCAGCAAAACCTTCCTTCTCCCTTCATTCTCCTAACTGTGTGGCCTTGGATAAGTCCCTTCACTCTGGCATGTTTGTCGAACTTTACAGGCTGTAAACTCTAATCTGTATCACACAGGTTAATTATGTTTATTTCTGTATGTAGGATCTTTCCCGTCAGGACAAATCAAAGGTTCACCTTACCTGGGCAGGTGATGGGGGTGTGTGGGCTCCTGGGAGACGAGGCAGAGACTAGGTAGGGGCTGACCACAAGATAAAGAGGCATCTGGTCTGATTTTTTGCTGAAGATACAAGTGGATAGAAATGTCAACAGCTGTGTCGCAATGTGGTGCCAGGGACATGGGGAGAACGGTGTGTGAGCAGATGTACAGACTTCGGGACCCAGCTCACCTCGTGCCCCTCCACTCCCAGACAGGGAGGAGACACCCTTCTCAGCTGCTGGATGATGCATCATCCAAGGGAGGAGAGAGATACGGGGAAAGAAGGAGCTTGAGTGGAAGCCAAGTTGCCTGAACTATTCCCAGTGCTCAGAGGAAGTGGGGGCAGGAGTTTTGCTTTCCATGAAGGATGTGCCTGTTGGGAACTTGGCTGGGAAAGAGGGCTTGAGGGAAAGTCAAGCAGTGGCGATGAAGAAACACGGAGTTTGGGGATGCAGCCCTATCCTAATACAAGGGAGGACGCCTGAACTCCAGGCCACTGCAGTAACAGCCTTTGCACTGTGTATCCCAGTTCCCTCCCCACCATAGTTTCCTTCAGAGCTGGGGCCCACTGCTAAGGCCCAGGGTGCTTGTCGGTGGATGATGCCCAGCTGAAGCTGCTCGGGCCCCGTGGCAACACCAGGTCCAGGGAGAGATCACGCTGCTCGTCCTCGGAAAACACCGGCCGGTAGCCCAGCAGTTGCAGTGCGCCTGCACACAGCTCCTGCACGCGGCGGATCTTGGTGAAGGACAGCGCATGGCGCCAGGCCTGGGAGACATTGAGTGCATCCCTGGATGTGGTCTTGAAGGCCTCGCGGCGCGCGCCAGGCCCGGACCCATGAGTGATGTTGTGGATCCAGGCCTCCAATTGCGGCGTGAGGTTCAGGCCAGCGAAGGCATAGAGTGCACGGATCTCTGGCAGTGGTGCTCGTGCCAGGTCCTCAAAGCGCACCAGTCGGTAGCGGCCATGCAAGAAGGGCGGTGGCTTGCGGGTGGCAGCCTCAGCGATGCGCACGTGGCTGCGGCACACCTCACGTACCACACGCAGGCCCGGGTCAGCCTCCACCCATGTGCCATTGGTGCCCAGCACGATGCCATTGTCACGTGCCAGTGCCTTGGCTGTCTGCTCGCGTGAGCGCAGCACTGCCCGGGGGTCCCGCACTAGGTGCACAATGTGCAGGTTGAGCGCAGGGTCGGTGAGCAGCGGGTAGAGCACCTGCAGGTTGAAGAAGCGCACCTCCTTGAGCACCACGTGGCTGTAGGAGCGGCAGGCTTCCTGGACCAGGCCGAAGGGCCTCCGAGCGCACAGCGGCTTGCACACGGCCTCGCTGCTAATGGCTCCGCGCTGAAAGGCACTGCAGGCTGGCGGCGAGCACAGTGCGCGGCTCACCGCCCACTGGAAGAGGTCGGAGAGGTTGCGACGCCAAGGCAGGTAGGCATCGAACACCTCCATGTCACACAGGAAGACCGAGCGCACCAGGTCACGCACTGCCATGTGCAGCGCCGGTGCACTGCCCTGCGACAGGGCGGACCACACGTGCCACGCAGGCTCCATTAGGTAGAAGACATCGGGGTGTTGGCTGAAGAGCTGGCCCACAAAGGATGAGCCTGAGCGCCAGGAGGACAGCACCAGCACGTGCACTCGCTCCTCGCTGCCCGCCGGGGATGTCAGCCTGGGCCGGGAGACCAGGAAGAGCAGGAGACCTGTCTGCGCCAGCAAGAGCACGGTCACCGCGGTGCTGGAGATGCGTGGCAGCCACATGCTGCTGGCCGAAGCCTGCGGGAAGGGAGTTCACCTGTTAGGGACCACAGCCCGCTCTCCCATTCCACACCCTAATCGCCCAGTGATCGTAGGGGGCGATCCTGGGAATGTGACGTTAAGACCTACACGTGATCTAGTCCATGCAGAGCAAAAGGCCAGTGGCAGAATGCTACGGGAAAAGTCTCCTCCCCTCTCTTCTCTCTCCCCCTCTTCCTCTCTTCTTCCTTCCCTCCCTCCTTATCTGATGAAGAAAATATTTTAAAAACAAAACTCCTGCCTTTCGGTTAAGAATTCCTTTTGGGGAAACACTTTTAGGTTGTTTAGCTAAACAGCATGATGGATGATTTGGTTCCTTCAGTTTGAATCTTGGCTCTGAGGCTCCCTAGCCTGTGATCTTGGACCAAACACTTAACCTCTCTGTGACTCAGTTTACCCATCTGTAAAAAGGGGATAATACTGGTTCTGGAGCATTGAAATAAGCATGGGGGAGAGGCAAATGTGCTAAACTCCTCTAACTGATAACTTGCATTATTCCACACAGTGATCGTCTGCATTGTTTCATTTTTTAAAATACGTAGATACAACTTTTGTTATTAAAAGTAAACAAATGAATTTAAAAAAGACAACACCAACGGTTGCCATCACCCACGGGGACTGAAGTGCTGCAGGAGATGTGGACTTGAGGGTGGGCATCCTTCCAGAGCCTGTGAGTTTGCAGAAGAATCCAGTTCAGGGAGAGGCAGGACAGAGCCAGAGAAGCTGGGAGGTGAGGGCGGAGTCAGACCCCTGGTGGCTGCTTGCCCTTTCCCTACTGAGGCTACTCACCACTGCCCTGGGCTGCCGGGATAGCTGCCCACCTCAATCACAAATCCATGGAAGATGCCTGGAGGGCCCTCAGGTCCTGAGAAAGCAGGAGGGAGGCTGGGTTAGAGTCCCACAGGGGGAGATAGTGCTGTGCATCGGGAGCGATTTGCCTTCCTGGACTGACAGAGAGTTCCATGCGGTGGGGGCGGAGCTGCCCTGCCCCTGGCTGCCGCTGGGCACAGACCAGAGGCTGGATACATTTTTCCAAATGACTGAACTGACTGTCTCTCCTGCTAAGTGCAGGAGAGACGACTGCCACTGAGTTCTGACAGTGCCACTCAGGAGCTGTGAGACCCGGAGCAAATGACTTGAATTCTCCAAGGCTCGGTTTCCTCCTGTGTAAGTTGGGGATAACATTTAACCTCTTACAGTGGTTGTGAGGAGCGCTGGCACAGGCACATGTGAGGAAAGGGCTTGTGAAGGCGCCATACTTATCCCCCAGGTTACTGTTGCCGAGAGAAGGGAAGGGAAGAAAAAAAGGGAGAGAAACATCACCGTGAGACATCAGTTGGTTGCCTCCCACACGCACCCTGACTGAGGACAGAAGCCGCAACCCAGACAAGTGCCCTGACTGCGAATCGAATCGGCACCCTTTTGCTTTGAGGGATGATGCCCAATCAAGTGAACCACACCAGTCAGGGCATTTGGTGAACCTTTAAAATGTCATGTTTGTGCTACAGGAAGGAACACTGAGCTTTCCCACCCTGAGGTTCCCAAGTTCTCTCCTCTTTGCTCCTGAGATAATCTCAAGGAAGAGGTGCTTTGACGGGAAGAGGCCCAGAAGTTGCCTCCTGCTTTCACAGCATTTGCTCCCTAATAACATTGGTGACATGGACCCTCTCTGTCCATGTCACCAGTGAGAGAAGCCAGGGACTAGACCGTGAGCAGAGCCCTCGTCTGCTCCTTCCCCTTATCGGGAGGCTGCGGGAGCGGGCGGAGGACGCCCGACAGCCGCCATCTGCTGACTCCAGAACTGCCTCTTGGATCCCATGCCCACTCCTGGAAAACCTGCAAGCCACCCATCTGCTCTGCACTTGTTATTTAAAATAATTGATTTTTTTCTATCGCTTACTACCATGAGTTCTGATTAAATAGTGGATTCCATTGGTGGGGTGGCCTGGGGTTAGCGGTATAAAGGAGCAGGGGCGGAGCTTCTGGAGGGCAGGTCATGCTCTGTTCTTGATACGGGGGCTAATTACACGTGTGCGCTCGACCTGTGAAAAGTCAGCAGGCTCTCCTTACATGATCTGTACTCTTCTATAGGTATATTTCAATAAAGTTTAAAATCCTGACTAAGATAGTAGTGTCATATCAGAGAAGGTCCCGAAGACTGGATGAATAAATGATGACAAATATTTGCTGATCGAAACCAGATACTCTGTGAGCCAAATCCAAAGGGAGTAATTTCCCACTTATCCCGCATTTCTTTCTGCTGAGCATCTTGAAGTTTCAATACCCTCTCCATAGCCCTGACTATTTCTTGGCCTGAGAGATCTAGGAAGGAGCTACCATTCTACCCGATTTGCAGTCAGGAAAACTGAGTAAGGGCAGAGAACGGTTTGCCATGGCAGGGGCGGAGCTGGGGCCCAGGAGTCCAGCTCTCTGGGCAGCACTGACCTGTAGCTCAGTTCTGCGTGCCCTTAACTCAGCAGCATGTCCTGTCACCAGCCTCTCCCAGCCCTGGCAAAGAATCTAAGGGAGTGAAATATAATAGTAAGTACAAATTCTTGGCTTAGATTTCTCTCAGTTTGGCATCAGCTGGAGGCCAGCCCTGTTGAGGAATCCCAAAGGCCGGAACAAATGGATTCGGATGTGGGACCAGTGGACCCTAGGTATCAGCGACCACCCTCAGGGGCAAAACGGCTCCACTGGAGCCCAGGGCATCCATTAGGGAGAAGGCTGCGAAGGAGGGGAAGAAAAAGAGAAAAGGGAGAGGAGGAAAAGAGAAAAGGAAAATAAAACAAAGCAGAGAGGGAGGTAGAGAGAGAGAGAAAGAAAGATGGGTGTTTATAATGGAGTAGGACCAAGAACCATCAGCAAATACCATCCACCGAGGGCTTCCTGTGTGCCACGCCTTTTCCACCCATCTTCAGATTTAATCTCACAACAACCCTGCGAAGTAGACCTGCTGCTCGTCCCTATTTTACGCCTGAAGAAATGGAGGCTTAGAAAGATTAAGGAACTTGCCTAGAGGACTCACCCAGCAGCTGAGTCAGTCTGTGAACCCTACTAGTCTAAGTTTAGAGCTTTTAACTATATAGTATCAAGTGGACAAACACAAGTAACAACACATATGCACAAATACACACACCAAGTATGTCAACTGTGTATAACGCACCACTGTTTTATAGACACAAATGTCAAAGGACACCCAGAAATGGCAGAAAGTATTTGCAAATCATATCTACAGCAAAGGACTGACACCCGGAATATCTAACAGGCTGTTACAACTCCACAATAAAAGACAACTTGATTTAAAAATGGGCAAAAGATTTGAGGAGACATGTCTCCAAAGATGCACAAAGAACCTATGAGCACATGAAATGATGCTTGACGTTTATAGTCAGAGAAATGCAAATCAAAGCTATAATGAGAGCCCACTTTCCATCTACTGGGATGGCTAAAATGAAAAAGAGAGTAACAAGTGTTAGTGAGAACGAGGAGAAATGGAGCCTCACACTCTGCGGATGGGAGTGGGAGATGGGGCCGCTGCTGTGGAATGAAGGCAACTCCTCAGAAGTTGAAAGAGTTACCAAGTGATACAGCAACTCCAGAACACCCATCCAAGAGTATTAAAAACATATGCCCCCACAAAAACTTGTTTATGAACTGTCATAACAGCACTGTTCATAATGGCCAAAATGTGGAAACATCTCAAATGTTCATCAATTGATGAATGGATAAACACAATGTGATGTGTTTATTATCTGAATATTATCTGGAAATAAAAAAGGAAGTACTGATGCATGTGGATGAATCGTGAGGTGCTTAACACACAACACTGAATACACCACAAACCAGTGAACTGTGTACTTTAAAAGGGTGAACTTTAAGGCATGTGAATTATATCTCAATAAAGCTGTTATAAAAAACACACATTCTATACTTGGTCTCCACACATGCACGGTATGGAGGCAGTGAGGGAGCAGTGAGCACGTTCCCTTCTGTGTTGCCCCAGGTGTTGACTGAGCCCTTTTGTTACAGAGATAATCTGGAATGTTCTCCGGTTTACTTTTTTAACCTTTTATCTTGCTGAATGTTAGTGGCTATTTTGGTATGGCCAGATTAATGTTTTGTTCTTGTTAATGTTTTGCTGTATTTTCTAGTCAGTCTATAATAAACTTTGATTACCGTGGTAATCCTAAAGTCAGTTTTTTTCAAGTTGGTTAAAGGAGGCATGGGTGGAGCTTGCCTGCTCCAGCCTTCACTGCGGGGAGAGAGGTGCCTGCAAGTCTGTCTCCCAGCTGACGTGGTACCCAGGAGACCGGAGAACAGGTGCATGGGATGAATGACCTCCTACGTGCAGTGAGAGGTGTCAAGATGCCCACACCCACCCTGGGGCAGAACATGTGTCTGGCCCCAAGCCCTAGCCACATCCGCCATCTCTCTGCTGGCCCAACAAGCAACTGCACAGCATTGGCCGGAGTCAGGGGGCTGGAGGTGCACAGCCCAGATGCTGCTGGAGGAAACAGGTTTGCCTGCAAGAATCTATTGGGAAATGAAATCAGATTGGTCTGGGAAAAGAGCCTGCAGTCCCCCAGCTCAGAGGTGCCTGGGGGCACTTCAGAGTAGATAACACATAAACCCCTTTCCCTGGCTCTGAGTTTTGGGGATCCCCAAAGTACACTTTGCACAGCACCTAGTTTGGTCTAAATCACAGAACCTGCCAGCTGGACAGCCCTCCAGTCTGGGGCTTCCGCCTCTCCACTGGAGTAACACACACACCGGACAGAGGCACTGAGGGCCCTGTGTTCCCAGGTGTTGACTGAACCCTTTTGTTACATAGATAATCCAGAATGTTCTCTGGTTTGTTTTCGTAATCTTTTATTTTGACTGTTTTTTAAAAAGTAAATTATTCTTCCATGTCAATGACATAAAAAAGAGATTGTTTTAGAAGAAATCAACTCAAAACACATAACAAGTTGCGGAACATGTATAAATTTTGAGCCAAACAAACTAAACTGCAAGAAGATATCTTTAAGGTAATCAGAAAAGTCGTAATATAAATGGAATATTAGGTGATATTGTGAAATCATTGTTAATGCTATCATCATCACCCAGAATTCTCTTGTTCGTGCATTTCTGTACCTATCTCCCCTTACCAGACTGGAAGCAGAGCCCAGTCAGTCTCATTGAAGGGAGTACAGGGTAGTACAGTGGCTAATAGTGTGAACTCCACTTGATCATTTACTGTGAGATCTTGGGGAGGTTACTTAATCTCTCTGTGCCTTTTCCCCTTCATCTATAAGATGGAGAATACCGCCCTGGCTGGTGTGGCTCGATGGACTGAGTGCCTGCCCGTGAACCGAAAGGTCACTGGTTTGATTTCTGGTCAGGACACATGTCTGGGTTGTGGGGCAGGTCCTCAGCTGGGAGCGTGTGAGAGGCAACTGATCCATGTGTCTCTCACACACTGATGTTTCTCTCCCTCTCTTTTTCCCTTTCTTCCCCCTCCGTAAAAGTAAATAAAATAAAATAAATTGGGAAAATAATAAATTGGGAAAGGTTTAAATAGTAATAAATAAATATGATAAATAAATAATAATACAAGAATAAACTGTGTTTCACATACTCAAAACTGTAAATCTTTGCCCTACTCCTGTATAACCCAATGCATGGGCTTGATTTATTGATCAAATAAATAAATAAATATATATATTTATATATATATATAGAGAGAGAGAGAGAGAGGGAGGGAGAGCACGCTTAGAACAATGTCTGGCACATCGTACACTTATAACTACTTGTTCAAGTATTTTCCAAACCCTGGGTGACAACTATATTCTATGAATCCAAGGGAAACCTTGGATCTCATTAGGAAAACTCAAGGACAATAGCCTAATCAGGGTCAGGTGACTCTAGCACCCTAGCAACTGAAGGTGGCAAGCCAGTAGGGGCAGACCAAGTACATTCGAAACATAAACCAGTGAGTAAAGGCCAGAAGCCTGGCTTGGGAAGCCAGACTGGGTTCAAACCCTCGCTCTGCAGGCAGTGAGGCGTGTGACTCTGAGCCTGTTGCCCCTGAGCTCTCTGTGCTTCAGGCGACTCCTGTGTAAAGAGGCTATCATGGCAGATGCTGGTTGGAGAGGAGTAAATGGAACAATCTAGCACAGGCAGAGCGCTCTTATTAGCTCTGGCACTGGGCTCACCGTTTCAGGGAAGCCAAACCCTTTCTGCTCTTCAGGCCTCAGTTTTCCCATCCTCATGCCTCTGGTACAAGAGGGAAGACAAAGGAGAGTTAACATTTTCTGGACACCTATTCGAGGCCAAGAGAGGTCTCTATTGTTAGCCCAGGCAGGGGCGGCTGGACTCACATCAGCTGCATTTGGTTCCAAATTCACTCGCCAAGCTGCTTTTCCTCAAGAGTCCCGTGGAAAAAGCCCTTCGAGAGCTATCTAGATTAAAGCCATGCCCTTTGAAACTCAAGTTTCAAGAGGTAAAAGATCCCAGTAGTGATCCTGCAGGCCTCTGAAGTCCCAAGAAGGCACCTTTAAACTAGAGCTTGGGGCAGCGATGCCCTTTGCACGTTTTTAGAAGAAACACGACCTTCAGCTCCTCCCCCAACAACCCGACCTCCAGCAGCAAGATCGACGACCCCTACCCCCCCATAAGTGCCACTGGCCCATGCCCAAGCCGGCCCAGGATGGGGGCATCCGCGCGGAGAGGGGACGAAACCAACCTACCCCAAAGCTTGGGGTCCTTGGCTGACCTGGCGCGGCTGCCGAGGCTCGGCAAAGGCTTCTTGTCGTCTCTTCCACGCGCCACTCCACAGACTGCTGTCTCTTTACTGGGAGTCCGCAGGGGCTGCTTTGCTCCGTAGGGTCCCAAGGCTACTAAGGGATACCGGGTGATAGCAGGGATGAGGCTTTACGGACACCAACTTATTGGCGGCACCTGGAGACCCACGGCGGAGGGAACCTGGAAACAGGGCAGGAGTCCCCAGAAAAAAAAGAGGCGTCGTAAGAATGAGATGCTGCGGTGGAGGCAGTCCTGGGGCTACAAGGACCAGAGTCCCCCTAACCCTGGGTCCCCATCCGTACCAGCTCCGTGGCCCTGCGCTACCTGTGCGGCTGCCAGCGGCCCCGCGCGCTGTTCAGCGCTGCCCGCCCGGAGCGGAGCGCACACAATGAGGAGCTTTCAGACGTGGCTGCGGTCCCGGAGCCGGCGGGCGGGAGCCAGGATGGGAGGGAAGGAAGAAAGAAGCCGGTTGGCCCCCGGGTCCAGCTACCCAGCCCACCACTGACCGAGGGGCCACGCCTTGGGGGAGGGGCAGCTGCCCAGGGGCGGGCGTAAGAGGGTCCCGGATAAGAGGGGGCACAGGTGGGTTTAAGGGGGCTGCAGGAGGCGCACTGTTTGGAGGAAGATGTCAAAGGGCGCGGGCAGCCCCCTCTCATCTGACTAAAGCAGTGGTCTCCTTCTCTGGTCCCGAGAAGGAAGGTTCCCTTCAAAGAAATTACGAAGGAAAATGAATCTTAATCTTGCCCCTCCACGCTCTCAGAGGCATCCTCCCAGCGAGGTGACTTGGAATCCAAACGGGCTACCCAAGCCCCCGGCCTCAGCCCTAGGCCAAGGCCAAGGCTCCTCGATGCCAGGCAGAGCTGTCTGCCTCTCCTCTCATCCCCCCACCTCCCTGCTCTAGCCAAGAGGGCAGCAAGTCTGGATAAATACAGGATCCGTTTCAATAAATAAAGCAGATTCCCCCCTCCACCCCTTACAGAAAACAGAGCAGACTCCAGGCATCTGAAAATGACAGACCATTCTGACCTGGGGTAATCCACGGTGGGTTCTGAAAGCAGCCTCGGCTGCTGGAGCAGAGATTAGTGCATTCTTTCCAGAATGTGGCTTGGCAAGATGAGTTAAAATCCTTAAGAACCATCATAACCTTTTGGAATTAGTAATCCTTTCTAGGATCTATCTTAAGGAAATAAACCAGCAACAATGATTTACATACAGGGTTCACAGAGGTGTTTTTTATGACAACCAAAAAAAAAAAGAAATAATGCAAAAGATGAGAAACATATGTGCCAGAAGGCCAACAGTGGTTAACTTCTGGGTAGCAAAGTTACAGACAACTTATTTTCTTCAGTTTTCTGTAATTACACATTTCCCCCAATAGGCATTTAGAACTTCTCTGGTCAGAAGGAAACTTCTTTTTAAAAGTATGAACACGAGCGAAAGAAAGGGGAAGGTATAGAATTGCTTTATTAACCTTACATGACGGGACCTAAGTGGGGCTCTAAGGACTCCAGCTGATTCAAACAGAAACTGGATTATCACTTGGCAAAATTAGGGACTGACCCCTCCAAACATTGAGTAATTGTTTCAAACTCTGACTTAGCTTCTTGTTATAGCTCAGTTAACAAAATCCAGTATATTTCTCACCTTTTCTTTCAACTACACTGTGTGATTCAGGTTCAGAAGCTACCAACATCTGATCTGTAAACAGAATGACATTCACCAGACACAGTTGTAATTTTCCAGCCCGTGGTTTCCCCATGCCGTGTGGATTCTACCAAAACTCACATGTACCTGGGGCTGGACCAGGGAACTTTTGCCAAAAGAGCTAACAAAAGCTCCAAGGTCTTTGGGCAGAGCCCTGGCAAAGCAAGGCTGCTGGTGAGTAACTCGGGGAAATGTGTGCCACCTCTGCCCTCCCCATTCTTCCCCTTTCCAAACCTTCCCCTCTAAAGAGCCACACGCAGCCTCCATTTTGAACATTTTAATTAGAAAGTTATAAAACATCCTGGTTCTTTATACAAATTTTGCATGAAAATAATAAAATGCAAAGCAATGTTTATACCCCTTTAGCGGTCTTTCCGTATCTCATCACCTTTTGGTAATTCAGAAGATTCAGCAACCAATTTCCATTTAAATCTCAAAAAAAGTTTAGGCGTATAAATAAGCAGCCCTAAATTTTGAAAGAAAATCAGAAGGGCCAGTGTTAGGGTATTTGGGCGCTTAAAATAGGTTTGTTTCCAAAACACTTATTTTGGCCAGCCTGAAAGAAAAGGTACTTTGGAAATAAGAACTGAATCTCCAAGGTTCAGTGAGGCACACACTGAGGTATGTGTTTTTGAATGGGTCTGAAGCACAGGTCATAGTGGGCACGTCCTTCCATAGTGGACACCAATGACATCTCCGGATCATGAAGCAGAGCCATCTGTCCTTTGAGGAGGCTGCATGTTTTCTCAGGGCGTGGACAGAGGATCAGTCTTCTGTGCGCAAACAAAGACCTGTTCCAGCACTCTGCTCCTGCAGACACTCACTCAGTCATGAGGGTCATCTGGTGGCACTGCTTGTCATTCTGCTACTGGCCAGGCTGGGCTGCCTGGACTGGCATCCTCTTATTCCCCTCACTGCTCCCATGGGTCTTCCCCCAAACTGCCTGCTCTGATGGGGGCCCTGTTCCTTCGTCAAGGGAAACGCAAGTAGCTGGGCTTCCCGCTAGCCCTCCAAATAAACTCTGTGGTTGTTGGGCAAGGAGCCAACACCAACAACAGGTCCTCTGTCACCCATGCCCGTTTGGGAAGGGGGAGGGGCCGGTGAGAAGAAGGAGTGGAAAGTGTCCAGGCTGTTAGGTGAGGGCCAGAGAGAAAAAACCTGTTGTTACAATTCTTACTTCCCCCAAGGTTACTTAGAGGATTGTGAATGAAACAGCACTTCTGACTTCAGCCTGCTATTCCAGGGGCACAGACAGAGGGCAAAGGCAGGGCAAAGAGCCAGCCACATAAGAGCAGGATAAAGGGCTTTTCAGCTAAGCTGATGACAGACGATGTCTGTTTGACTGAGGGCAGGTGGATGGTTCTAGTGTCCTCAAGTTGCCCACCCTCCCATGCATGCACACATGTGTTTGTGAGCACTCTGTCTCTCTCCCCCCCTCCTCTCCAATTCTCCAGTTAAAGGCCTCTCAGTTCTGGAAATCAAAGTTCTGAATGGGAAATTTCGGTGCCCAAGAGTAGAAAGTGCTACTGATTTGAGTATCTGTCATGAGAGCCCAGAAAAAGAGTAAAACATGGTTTACAACAGGGGGAAGAAATGTATAGCACGTTTCTCAGTTCGAGAAAGAAAAAGTCTTTGCTTGACCAGAGATGGGACTCTCTCCAACATGTCTAAACTGATAATAGTTTTCTCCTGAAATTCAAGTCTAAGATTAAAAAAAAAACCCAAAAAACGGGAAGCAAATTACAGCCTTCAGGAACCCGCAGACCTTTCCGGAAACTAGTCTCTGATGATTTCAGTAGGCACTTAGATGATATAGAATTTGTGTAGAGAAAAATTAGAAAGAACTCTTCTTTGTCTCTGGTAAGAAAAGCACACGTGCTGATGCGTGTCCAGGGGCTCTTTTCAGAAGTGTCCTAAGATGGCAGTTCTCAGAAGACAACATGAGGTAGCCAGGGTCCTGCTCAGAGTTCTCGGTCATGGTCTTCTTAGGATAAGTGCTCCTTACACAGTTCTCCCTGGGGCACCGCTGTTACAGGGATGGTGGTGACCACTTGATTTTGAAACACAAATCTTTTGATTCTTTCAAACACCCAGAGGAAGATAAGTAGGATACTGACATACTGGATCCAGGCAAACTTTATAATTTCCCAGAATCCTGGTAGATAAGTACACACAGTTAAGGATTCTCAGATGACATTTTCTAAGCAAATGTTAAACTAAAGTTTAGACAGGATATGGCAAAAATGTTTCAAATACCTTTAAGATAAAAGGGATAATAAAATATTATTAGGACATGAATATGGATGATTCTGACCTAGAAAAATTGCCCATGAAGAAAGAGAAACAGGAAATGAGCTTTTCTTCCCCTGTGTGAACAACACACACAGCTGTTTGTGCGGGACCACAGTGTAGTAGCAGTTTCCACGCTAAGGCTTCCCAAATGTTCCTTATTGGGACAAGGGAGGAATCCGTTTTTCTCTTTTGAAGCTGAGCTACTGTTGGCTCCTTCACAGAAAGGATATGAAATAACTTCTACTGGGTATCGGATGACAGCGTTAATCACAAATGGAGCTTCGGCAGCCCTTCCCACTAGCCAGATGGGGTTGGGGTAGGTCAGGATGGTGGTTACTGCAATGCAATCCGGAGTTAGATAAAACATTGAGGGCTACGAAAGTACTGGTTTGACCTCTCGGGAAAATTGTGTACTTCAGAATCATCTCAAAGAAATGATCCAAAAGGAAAGTGAAATTGAATGTGAAAAGTTGCTCACACATTATTTGTTAAAATGCTTGTCAAAACACTTATGCTAAAATAAAGGGGATGCTCAATGTCACTAATCATTAGAGGAATGCAAATGAAAACTACAGTGAGATATCACCTCACACCTGTCAGATCAGCTATCATCAATAAATCAACAAACAACAAGTGCTGGTGAGGATGTGGAGAAAGGGGACTCTTTTGCACTGTTGGTGGGAATGCAGACTGGTGCAACCACTGGGGAAAGCAGTATAGAGATACCTCAAAAAATTAAAAATGGATCTGCCTTTTGACCCAGTGATCCATCTTCTGGGAGTATATCTGAAGGAACCCAAAACACTAATTCAAAAGAACATAAGCACCCCTATGTTCATTGCAGTATTATTTACAATTGCCATGATGTGGAAGCAGCCCAAGTGTCCATCAATAGATGAGTGGATAAATAACTATGGGACATTTACACAATGGGATACTACTCAGCTATAAAAAAGAAGAAAATTTTACCCTTTGTGACAGTATGAATAGACTCAGACAACATTATACTAAGTGAAATAAGCCAGTCAGAGAAAGACAAATACCATATGACTTCACTCATATTTGGAATCTAATGAACTGAATTAACAAGGTAAATGGGGACAGACTCATAACTGGAGAGCAGGATGACAGCTAGTGGGATGAATGTGAAAAGTTGCTCACACATTATTGAGGGAGGGATTGAGCGAAAAGGAAAAAGGACTGACTCATGGACATGGACAACAGGGCAGTGACTGCTGGGGGAGGGGGCGGAAGGGCACTAAACAGTAATGGAAAAAATACAATACAGATTAAATTTAAAGAAAAACAATATGGAAACAGTCTATGTGTTCTTTGTAGTTCTTGAGTGGCTAAGCAAAGCAATACTATGCTACCACTAAAAAAAATACTGATTAAAACTTTGTAGCAGCATGGGAAAATATTTATATTATGCAGTATAAAAATAAACTGGATCCAAAATTGTCTCTAAACTTGGATAGTAGAGCAGCTGTATAGAAAAAGATTTGCATACAGACAAAAACTGGAAAGAATAAAGAAAAAAACTTGATTTGTACTTTTCTAAGTTTGGTCAAAGCTTTTACTTTTAAATTTTTTAAAAAATATTTTTATTTATTTATCTTTAGAGGGGAAGGGAAGGAGAGAGGAGGAGAAACATCAATGTATGGTTGCCTTTCGTGTGTCCCCTGCTGGGAACTGGCCTGCAACCCAGGCATGTATCCTGATTGGGAATCAAACCGCGATTGTCTGGTTCGCAGGCCCTCACTCAGTCCACTGAGCTACACCAGCCAGGGCTAAATTTTGTTTTTAAAATAATGCTGTTAGTGTATTACTCAAAATCAGGAAGAAATACTAGAATTACAGTCCCCCCACTTGTTAAACGTCTGTGTGGTATCCATGATGTCTGGTCGCCAAGCAATACTTTAGGTGCCTTTGGAGAAAACCTCAGATCACCAACCAGCCAAACATGCCGAGCTGAGCGTATGAGATGGCCTCATAGCCTCACCTCTGTAAGGGACAGACACACTTTTCCTGATAGCCAGGACCTTGGGTGCATCACGTCTACTCTCCTAATTCGGTTGTTGACATGGGGTGAGTCACTCACCTTCCCTATTTCTATTTGAAAACTATGGACAGTAATTTGCTTTTTTAAAAAAAAAAAAGTGTGGTAAAGGGATCACTTCAGTTGAGCTCACATTTAAAACAAAGGAAACCCGTCAAACCAGTGGTGGGATAAATATATCAATGAAGCGGCCCTTACCTACTGAATCATAGAAGTGGGGGTGGGTAGGGTGTGGTTTTAGTGTTTTCATCATGATAAGGGTTTCAATTCTGTTTCCACTCCAATTTCTCTCCAAAGCCCCCACAAACCCAGAAAATCCTTGATAGATATCTGAATAAAATTTACTCACCATTCCTTTCTTGATAGGCAGCAACAATGTGGGTGAGGTCATAGTCATAGGCAAAAGGGCTGGTCCCGTTGATGACGGACACCTGGGAGGCAGCAGGAAGCCCTGGTATGAGCACTTGAGCAGCTTCTTCTCTGGTCTTTCCACCCCCCACCCACCCAGGCAGATCTCAGAGACTACCTTTGGGTTTTGGGGGGCCTGTTCCAGTATCAACAATCTTTTCTTCAAGGATGAATGACCTCTCTTACAGTGATTGACTCTCAATCCTTCCCCTTACTCAATGGAAACAAGGGCCAATATCCACCTTTTATAGGTTTTATAGGTTTTAAAGCTACTTATAAAATACTACTCTCTATTCCAATGGGAGAACTGAGTCCTTTAATTTTAAAAAATAGATCATATTTTCTGCCTTGGCTGATGTGGCTCAGTTGGTTGAGTGTCCTATGGTGACTGAAAAGGCTGCAGGTTTTTTTTTTTTTTAATATATTTTATTTATTTATCTTTAGAGTGGAAGGGAAGGAGAGGGGGAGAGAAATATCAATGTATGCTTGTCTCTCATGCATCCCCTGCCAGGAACTGGCCTGCAATCCAGGCATGTGCCCTGACTGGGAATCGAACCTTGGTTGTTTGGTTCACAGGCCCATGCTCAATCCACTGAGCTATACCAGCCAGGGCAAGGCTGCAGGTTCGATTGCCAGTTGGGGCACATACTTAGGTTGCCCAGTGGAGAGCATAAGGAAGGCAACCAATTGATGTTTCTCTCTCACACTGATGTTTTTCTCTCTCTCTCGCCCCCTTCCCCACTCTCTAAAAGCAATGAAAAAATGTCTTGAGGTGAGGATTAGAAAAAATAAACGATATTTTCAACCCCCTTGTCTTTTCCTTACTCTTCTCTGGATGATCTCTACTTTATCTATCCCTTCTAAATGTAAATTTGGAAATAAGGTAAAAGGCAAATAGCAGGTATATAATCCTTTAAAGAAAGTGACTTCCTGCCCTCAAAATCATATTCCTGTTGACATAAACCTTCAGATAAAAGGTGATATGGGTTTCTAGGTGAAGACAGGACTCAGAATGCTGAAATCTTTGGGGAGGCATTAAAAAAATGTAAAAAAAAAAAAGAAAAGGTTCCAGTCCAAGATTGCGATAAAGGAACTTCCTGAACTCACCTCCACCCACTGACACACTGAAGCCATGGCTCTACATGGAGCAATTCCCTCTGAAAGAAATCTAGAAACTAGCTGAGTGACTCCCACACACTGGGCAAGTGAAGAAATACCCACATCACCCAGACTGAAACAATCTTAGCACATCTTCAACTACGGGAAGCCACAAGAACAAAGAAGGCAGCTTGGACAAGGACAGAGCTTGACAGCAACCAAGAGCTCCGGCTGGGCTCATTGGTAAGATTCATTTCCTACATGAGACCCCCTCCATCAGGATTGGGAGAGGGGGATGTTTTATCCAATGCAAAAAAACCAACACAGAGAGTCAAGGAAAATGAAGAAATAGAGAAATATGTTCTGAACCAAAGAACAAGAAAGAACTCCAGAAACAGACCTTAATAAAATGGAGATAAGTGATTTATCTGATAGAGTTTAAAATATCAGTCACAAAGATGCTCACTGAGGCCAGGAGAACAATGCATAAAAAGTGAAAAAGGACATTATAATAAAATCACAGGCAAATATTCCTGATGAACATAGATGCAAAACCCTCCACAAAATATTAGCAAACCAAATTCAACACCACAATCAAGTAGGATTTATTCCAAGGATACAAGTATGGTTCAACATCCACAAATCAGTAGATGTGATATACCACATTAACCAAATGAAGGATTAAAGTCATCTCAATAGATACAGAAAAAGGATTTGATAAAATCCAACAACCATTCACAAAAAAACCCCTCAATGAAGTGGGTACAGAGGGAACGGGAACATACCACAGTGTAATAAAGGTCATCTATGACAAGCCCACAGCTAACATCATAATGGAGAAAAGATTTCCTCTAAGATCAGGAAGACGATAAGGATGCCGACTCTCACTACTTTTATTCAACGTAGCACAGGAAGTCGTAGCCAGAGCGATTAGGCAAGAAAAAGAAATGAAAATCATCCAAATTGGAAAGAAATAAAACTGTGTCTGTTTGCCTATGATACAATATTACATATAGAAAACCCTAAAGACTCCACCAAAAAAAACTCTTAGAACTTACAAAATGAATCAGTAATGTTGCAGGATACAAGATCAATACACAAAATCATTTGCCCTTCTATACACTAACAATGAAATATCAGAAAGCAAAATTATGAAAACAATCCTGCCCTGGCTGATGTGGCTCAGTGGACTGAGCACTGGCCTGCGAACCAAAGGGTCGCTGGTTTGATTCCCAGTCAGGGCACATGCCTGGGGTTGCAACTCAAGTTGTACACCAGTAGGGGGTGAGTAAGAGGCAAGTACACATTGAAGTTTCTCTTCCTCTCTTTCTCCTTCCCTTGCCCTCTCTCTAAAAATAAATAAATAAAAATAAAAGAATCATCTCATTACACTGTAATGAGATGTATCAAAAAGAATGTAAGATATGTAGGAATAAATTTAACCAAGGAGGTTAAAGGTCTGTTCACTAACATTGATAAAAGAAACTGAAGAAGACACAAATTAATAGATATTCTGTGTGCATGTATTAAAAGGATTAATGCTGTTAAAATGAAAAAAATGTCCATATTACCAATGGAATCCTTATCAAAATTCCAGTGGCATTTTTTACAGCAATAGAAAAAACAATCCCAAAATTTGTACAGAACCACGAAAGACCTCAACTAGCCAAAGCAATTGTGAGAAAGAACAAAGCTGCAGCATCAAACTTCCTGACTTAAAACTGTATTACAGGCTGCTGTGGCGGCAGGCTGGCTTCTCTACGTGGGCCGCAACCGCGGACGACGAAGTACGGGTGACCAAGGACGTGTACAGAGCCGCCAGCTGGGCCGGGCCAGACGCCAAAGCGGCGGGGGTCGTTGTGCTGTGAAGAAGACACCGTAAGCCGTTTTCGCGACAGCGGGTGCGGCCACGGTCGCCCCAAGTGGGCTCAGCGGCTGCTGGGCCAGTCTAGGCTCGCGCCCAGCCCTTCCTGGACTCAACGTCAAGCCGCGACTCCGAGGAGGCCACCACAACCGACCGGCGCTGCGCTGCGGGCAATGGCATGGCGGCCCCGCAGGCTTCGCTCAGTCCCCCAAAGGGGATCCTGAAGAACAAGGACTCTACGACTTCCTCCATGGCGGTCTCCAACGAGCTGCAGCCCGAACTGCGGCCCAGCAGGAGTGGCAACGAACAGAGGAAAAAGTCCCAGATTGGGTGGGATGAAATGAGCATCAAGGCGACATACCATCCAGCAGACAAAGACTATGGCTTAATGGATGTACATGAAGCAAGCACCCCGTACCATCGCACGGTAGGTGATGATGAAGATGCAACGCGTGATTCAGGAGCCGCTCAAGCCCTGACCCCAGACGCATTAGCTAACAAATCGGCTGCTGCTGAGGGCTCAGAGCCAAAGTATCGGGTTCATGGACAGGACAGCAGTGACGAAGACGGTGCCTTCTCACCTGAGAAACAAGGTAAAAAGTCTTTATTGACTGCCTGCTGTTTACTCTTTTGTAAGTGCTCTGCAGGCAGTGCGCAGGGGGAAGAAAGGAGCCAGCTTCCGGAAACTTCCACATCGGCTATAGAAAGAAAGCGACAGTTTGAAATGAAAAGGAAGCTTCACAGCAATGAAGGACTGAATATTAAATTAGGTAGGCAATTAAGTTCAAAAAACCTAGATAATGATGAGGAAGATGAAGAAATGTCAGAGACCACAGCCGGACAAAATATGGATATGAAAGAATAAATCAAGGGTCTGCTGGAGGTGATGGGCAGCACACGAAATCACAGAGTTCACAGAAGATCTGTTCAACACTGTAATTGTCCGATACAAACCTTGTTACTGTAGTATACTGCTCCTTGTTCTCTGCGTTTCATGACTTAAGTACCAAAATGCATACCAGTTATTACACGTTACCAAGAATTAAATAACTTTAGAGACTAATCGGACTGGAAATGCCTCATTGATACATATATTCTTGTATTTAGTACTTGACCAGAAATATAGCATAATATCATCACTCCAAAACTGCACCACTTTTGTAAGAACACTGGTTAATTTGTATAAGATATTATATAGTTTTTATGCTTGGAGGTTAGTATCTTGGGAAGGGGGAGAGGATCTAATTTATTTTCTTCACTTTTAGATGTGATAGCTCTTGCATATTTTTTAAATTGAAATCCATTTGGAGCAATAGATTATAGAGGCTGATAAATATTCAGTCTGAAAACTATTTTAACACATGTCTCACCCTGATTTATCTGTTTAATTGAAAAGAATTATTATAAGAGTTACTGTTGCATTTTTAGGCCTATTACCTTTAAAAATCCCTTTTGAGTTTCTTTATGTTTACAAGGAAAAGACTGAATTATATCTCATTGAAACTAGCTTTATTCACAAATAAATTATCAGGTTGAACTTGTACTAATGGCTGCTCTTTTTTTGTAAGCCCGGTTGGCAGACTTCAGATCAGTTTTTAAAATAAATGTAACACAGCCTCAGCATTCCCTTTACACGCCTATCCTAACCACCTGCCTTTGTTTCTCACTCCTGTCCACATGCACACACACAGTGACCCTTCACCTTTATAAAAGGTCATCAAGATTGTCCCAACATTAGGAACTCTTCCTGCACATATTTACTGCAACAATCAAAATCTTATTTTGATGATCAATGCCTGTTTTTTTCTCCTGATACATGGAGAAAATAGATTTAATAGCAGCAGTGCTACAGACAGAAAATACAATTCAACTGCAGAATTTCTACACTGCTCTGAGTTGAGCTTGCTGATTAAATTGCTATTATTAGTTGATTGTTTGGCCTCAATAGACCTTAGGAAACAACTGCATGATGAGAGAACTGGGTGTCGGCAGTGATATGGTGACAGGTTCTGCCTGGACAGACAGAAGCAATCCTGAATACATTTCAATTTAAGAGCTTTAATCTCTGCTTTAAGGGAATATGACAATGTATGCTATCACAACTGCTGTATTCTAACACAATAAGGTTGAGATGTTTTTCCCTCTGAAATGAAGTGCTGTTCCTGTGTATCATGGTTTAGTAATAGTTTGTTCGTAGTCAATTATTTGTATCTTGATTTTTTGTTAGTACTCAATGAATGCATCATATGAACAGACTTTTAAAATAATTTCTGAATATTGTATATATGAAATGGCTCTATTGAACAGTTTATCTTCTATATACAAGTTTATGGAAATATCAATATGTCAAAATAAAGTGGAAAGGGAAACTGTATTACAAAACTATGGCAATCAAGACAATATGGTACTGGCATAAAAACAGACATATCAATGGAACAGAATAGATAATCTAGAAATAAACCCACCAATGTAGGCTCAGTTAATTTTTGACAAAGGAGCCAAGAATACAATGGGGAAAGAACAGACTCTTCAATAAATGGTGTTATAAAAACTGCACAGTCACATGCAAAAGAATAAGCTGGACTCCTATCTTATAGCATACACACAAATCAATTCAAAATGGGTGAAATTCGTAACAGTAAAACTCCTAGAAGAAGACAAGGGGCATGCTTCCCTATATTAATACCGGCAATAATATTTTTGTATTTCACACCAAAAGTACAAGCAACAAAAGCAAAAATAATAAGTAGGACTTCATCAAACTAAAAAACTGCACAGCATAGGAAACCATCAACAAAATCAAAAGGCAACTTACAGTATAGGAGAGAATATTAGAAAATAATATATCTGATAAGGGTTAATATCCAAAATACAGGGTCTAGCAGAAGTAACACCTGCCTGAGTGTAGCTGGTAGGTGTGTAATGTGAGTGTGATAATTTCTAGTTGAAATTTGAACATTTCACCTAAAATGTCATATGGTGTGCTTAAGCGTGATATTGTTATGTTACAGAATTACATGCTTATGATTTTGTAATAAAGGGGGCATTATTTGTGCCAGACTCTGTATACAAAGAACTCACATAACTCAACAGCAAAAAAATTAATTTAAATAAATAAATAAATAAATTTGCTTTAAAAAATGGGCAGAGGAACCTAACAGGCATTTTTCCAAAGAGGACATACAGAAGGCCAACAGATACACACACTGTGCTCAACATCACTAATCATCAGAAAAATGCAAATCAAAACCACAGTGAGGCATCACTGAAGGGCTGTTACCAAAAAGATAAGAGATAACAAGTGTTGGCGAGGATAGGAGCAAAAGGCAACCCTTGTTCACTGTTGGTGAGAATGTAAACTGGTGCAGCCACTATAGAAAACAGTGTGGAAGTTTCTCAAAAAACTAAAAATAGCCCTACCATATGATCCTGAAACCCCACTTCTAGGGATTTATCCAAAGGAAATGAAAACAAGATGTGGAAGAGATATCTGTCCTCCCCTATTCACTGCAGCACCGTCATTCACAGTAGCCATGATGTGGAAACAACCTAAGTGTCTATAGTGGTTGAATAGATGAAGAAGAAGATATGAGATGTGTGTGTGTGTGTGTGTATGTATGTATTCAGACATTAAAAAGAAGGAAATCCTGCTATTTACAACAGCATAGATGGACCTTGAAGGCATTATGCTAAGTGAAATAAGCCAGATAGAGAAAGATAAATACTGCACAGTGTCACTTATACATGGAATCTAAGTAAAAAGTCAAATTTATAGAAACGGAGTGGAAAATCAGTTGTCAGGGGCTTGGAGCTGGGGGCAATGGAGAGAGGGTGAAAAGTACGAAGTTTCAGCTATAAGATGAATAAAGTCTGAGGATCTGATGTATAACATGATGACTATAGTTAATGATACTGTATTGTATAAGTGAAATTTGCTAAGAGAGTAGAACAAAATGTTCTCACACATATACAATAATAGATCAATATGTGTGGTGATGGATGTGTTAATTAACCGAGAGGAATCCTTTCATAATGTATACATCTATCAAATCATCATAATGTATACTTTAGCTTACAGTTTTGTCAGTTATACCTCAATAAAGCTGAAAAGCACCAGCAAAGACCTTTTCCAAGCCATATTAAGTTTATACCTTATAGTCCTTTGTTTTCCCAATTTACATTGATTATAGCTAGGGTAACCATAAATCCTCCTTTCTCTGAACCAGTCCTGCAATAACTGATAATGTCCTTCTTCCCTTTTCAAAAATAGTCCAGCCCAACTTATACAGCCCCCCTTGGGATATAAGAAAAGTTAGTGATAATGAGTGTTTAGATGCATGATTTCTGGTCTCAGACAGACAATTCACGGCTCTGTTACTTTCATGCTGTGGGAGTTTGGAAAAATTCATTAATCCCTGCAAGTCCCAGTTTTCTCAAGTGTAAAATGAGACTTCATTCTTTCAACAAATGTGTCGGAGTGCTTACTATGCGCCAGGCACTGTTTTAGGTACTGGGGTGAAAGTAGAAATGTCAGCACTTTTTCTGCCGAGGGAGACAGCAAAAAAAACAAACTGAAAACATATCTTTATATTTCTGGTGGAAGAAAGTAAATCTAGGTGACAGAGACAGGTGGGGGTGGGGGGTGGGGGGATAGAAGTATCAGGGAAGGGCTATGTTCAGAGATATTTGCAAAGGGAACTGAATGGAGTGGCAGATTAAGCTATACTTGTCCTTAGCAAAGGGAAAGGCAAACACAAAAGCCCAAAGCCCTGAGGCAGTAGTTGTTTTGTGGCACAAAAGCCAGTATGGCTAGAAAGGAGTGGAAGGGACAATGATAGGACAAGCAGCTACAGAGCTGGGAATGTAGAGCAGACTTCTCCTGGGGTTGCTGTGATATTTAAACCTCTTAACTCAGGACTGACATATATTATGTGCTCAATAATTGGTCACTTGTATTATTTTTGAAATGTTTTACAGGAACTGTAAAAGATCACTTTCAATATGATGTGTGTATGTGTACACATCCAAAAGAATGAAATATTTGGTTCTTAGATATTCTTCTCTTTCTAGATGTAAACACAGGCATATCTGTCTGCACATTTTGAGAATTCACGGCAGGGATTCCTCAGAAATCCTTTTCCATGTCCCTGCCGAGAAACACTATTTCCAATTTCTATTTGCCCTCTTCAAAGAACTGCAAACACTGACGTGTAGAAACAGAGGAGATGGACAAGAAGAAGCATCCTTACGTTGTATCGAACATCTAGGCCAGTGTAGCTCAGGGGCTGCTTCTGCTGCAGCCGCAGGTCTCCATTCACATACAGCTCGGACCCCGGAAGAGCGAAGGAGGACTGGAGAAATGCCATGCTCTGCATCACGAATGTAGACATCCTCTGAAATCATTAGAGGGAGAGACAATATCAGTTTCAGTCGGATCTTAAGGGCTTTGGGTTCTAAGTGCCACCTGACTGTGGCTGAAGCCTAGTAGTTCCGCACACACCTGGCTTAGCTATGCAGGAAGCGCTCTGCCCAGAACGCTCTGAGGTGTTAAAAGCCTGTACAAGTTAATATGACCCTAATGAAATACAGTTAATCTGCCTAAGTTAAATCCCAAACTACACCACAGAAAAGAGCCTTTTTCCACAGTGTGGGTTTTCCTAGAAATCAGAAGAGGGCTCTGATCTATTAAAAGACAAAAGGAAGAGGACAGGCTTCCCTCAGGAATTGACTCACGTGCAATTGGTAGGAGAAAGTCAAGATGAGTTGCACCCCGAGAACGTGCTCCGTGGACTGCAGTGGAAGCTCCAGCTTAAAATGTAACATGTCCATTTTCCCATCCTGGTTCCTGTCTTCTTCTCTAGTCTA